CAATCATCTTTGTCTTTAGTCCTTGGCTAGACTCCTTTTCCTTCAAGCCATGACTTCAGGCTTCTCAGCTTTGTGGATCACATTGATCTTGTGCTGTACTACTTTAATGATCCTATTCTAATCTACAAATCCTTACATTCCACTCTTCCCCTACCCGAGGGTGAGCCACAAGAAATACACAATACGCAGCCACAAGGAGGAAACACTCAGATTTCTGTGATGACTTGAATAACTGTACAGTCAAAGTTGACAGCCATTTTACACGGTGCAACATCTCACAAAAGCAAATGTCTGTTTGGTTTTTGGTGGTTAGTCAGTGGAAGAATATTGGCAAAAATTGCGAAAAAAAACTCCCTAAATTCCGTATAGTACCGTTGAAAGGGGAAGGCTAAGGGGTGGTCTGATAGAGTTTAAAATTATAGAGGGTTTATTAAGGTAGAGGGAGAGATGTTTCCACTTGAGGCAGACACCAAACTAGGAATCATAAGTACAAAACAGGTATTAATAAATTCAATAGGTAATTCGGGAAACATCAGCTTCAAGAGATTGGTTAGAATGTGAAATCTGCTATCATGTGTAGTAGTTGAGGCAATTAACGTTCAAGGGGACCCTAGAAAACGTAACAAAGAAAGGAAAAGTAAAACACATTGCTAGTGCTGGATGGAAGAGGGTGAAGGGGACATGCATAGAGCTCAAAATTGGCTTGAAGGTAGGAGAAGTTGGTGACAGGGGGCTGCTTTTCAGACTGGAGGCCTGTGACCAAGTGGTGTGCCACAAGGATCAGTGTTGGGTTCACTCCTTTTCGTCATTTGTATAATTTATTTGGATATGAATACAGGAGGTATGATTAGTAAGTTTGCAGATGACACCAAAACAGGTGGTTAGGGGAAAAGGTTCTCAGAGCACAACAGCACCTTGATCAGATGGACCAATGGGCTGAGGATAAATGTGAGGTGTTGCATTTTGGTAAGACAAACCAGGGCAGGACTTATACAATTAATTGTGGGGCCCTGAGGAGTGTTGCAGAATAGAGGCCAAGGGGTGCAGGTGCACAGTTCCTTGAAAGCAAAGTCGCAGGTAGACAGGGTGAAGGCGGCGTTTGGTATGCCTGCCTTCATTGGTCAGTGCACTCAGTATAGGAGTTGGGATGTCATGTTTTGGCTGTACAGGACACTGGTGAGGCCATTTTTAGAATACTGCACACAATTCTGGTCATCCTTCTTTAGGAAGGATGTTGTTAACTTGAGAAGGTGAAGAAAAGATTTACTTACAAGGATGTTGCTGGGGTTGTAGGGTTTCAGTTATAGGCAGTGGCTGAATAGGCTGGTGGTTTTTTCCCTAAAGCATCAAAAGCTGAGGGGTGAACTTATAAAATCATGAGGGGCAGAGATAGGGTGAATAACCAAGGTCTTTTTCCTCGGTTGAGGAACCCAAAACTAGGTGGAAATAGTGTTAAGGTGAAAGGGGAAAGATTAAAAAAGAACCTGAGGGGTAGCTTTTTCTTGCAGAGGATGGTGGGTCTTTGGAATGAGCTGCCAGAGGTGGTAGTGGAGGCAGGTAGAATTACAAAGATTTAAAAGGCATCTGGATAGATATATGAATAGGAAAGGTTGAGACAGATATGGGGCCAAATGCTGACAAATGGAACTAGTTCAGATTGGGATGTCTGGTCAGCAAGGACAAGTTAGACTGAAGGATCCAGCTTCCATGCTGTATGATTCTATAAACACCAGCACAGACCAGTTAGGCCAAATGGCCAATTTTGGACAGTAGACTCAAAAGGCAAGGAGCTCCCAATGGCCCGTCTCTCCAAGTAGAGCCACTGAATTAACAGGCAGAAATTGACCTTGGTTTAATAGCTCATTTGAAGGACTACATACACAATTCCCAACTTTCTGACACCAGAGTGAAGTTTATTAACCGAATCAAACAGGAATCTCAAGGTCACAAGGTAGACAGAACTAACATGTTCAAATGCAGTTCCTCATTATGTACAGGATTTCTGACAATTCAAATATAATAAAGTCATTTGAGGATTTTAAGGGCATTACACTCAACCTCAAAATTGTTGTAGTCCTGTTTCTTTCAAAGCACTGCTCAAATCCATGGCACACACTCCCAAAAGGATAAGGTCAGCAGAAACACGAGAATGCCTTCACTTTAAAATGCCACTCCAAGAGACCTACAACCCGACTTTGAAACAAAACTTTCATCATGACCAGGTCAAAATCCTGGAGCAGCCTACCAACAGCATTAACAAGTGCAACTTTGGTTTAGGAGAAACCCAAAACCATGTTAATCTTGACCAATGTTTAATCCTTAAATCACTCAGAGGGTTCTGAATCGTTGGAATTCTCCACCCTGAAAAACTGTTAAACCTCAGTCCTTAAGTATATTCACTGAAGAAGAATTTGTAGGGATATGAGCGGAGGGTATGGGTAGTGGCAATATATATAATGTTCCTTAAGAGAGCTGACAAAGATTAAGGGGCTTTTCTTGTTCCAATGGCTCACTATAGTTTGGTCAGTTTCCACCAGAGTTTTAAAGGAGCAAGGGACAACTTGATTAAAGTGTATAAGATCCAGAATGGTCTAAACAAGGTTCAGATGAAAAGGCTGTTTCCTGTTGTGGGTCAGAACAGTGTTTTAAAATTAAGAGTTGATCATTCAAGTCAAAGATGAGAATTTTTTTCTCTCGAAGTGTTGTGCTATTTTGGAACTCTGTCACAGAAGCCTGTGGAGGTAGGATCATTGAATTTTTAAAAGACAGATTTGGATAAATTCTGGTTAGGCAGGGGAATCCAAGAATATCAGTGGTAAATGGGAATGTGAAACTTGAAATACAAAAAGAGATCAGCCACAATCTTAATAACTGAAGATCAGGTTTGAGGGGCTGAATGGCCTACTGCAGTTCCCTTCTAATAGGTGCGTATGGTCTCCACCACAAAATCTGTTGAACAGTCAGCAATTTCATCATAGCACAGTCGGATGCTGAACCAGACTATTTGCATCTTTGTCAGTCCTGGCCCAAGATGAGCTTCCACGACACATTCATTTCATTATGGATTAATCCAGAGACCCAGATAATGTTCTGGGAACCCGGGTTTGAATCCTGACAAGACAGATGTGGAATTTAAATTCAATAAATATCTGGAATTAAGAATCTAATAATGACCGTGAATCCATGGTCGATTGTCAGGAAAAACCCATCTGGTTGACTAATGTCCTTCAGGGAAAGAAACTGCCATCCTTACCCGGTCTGGCCTACATGTGATTCCAGACTCACAGCAATGTGGTTGACTTTAAACTGCTTTCTGGACAATTAGGGATGGGCAATAAATGCTGCCTAGCCAGCGACGCCCTCATCCCATGAATGAATAAAGAAAAAAGTTATACAGACTGTCAAGTTCCACCTCTGTAAAACCATACAACTTCACCCCTACCTCAGCTCAACAGCTGCTGAAATACTCACCTTTCCCTTTCAATCTCAAGACTGGACTATTCAACTACCCCTGACTCGCCTCCCATGGTCACCCCTCCAAACTCAAGACTTCATACAAAATTCTGCTGCCCATCTTAACTTGCACCAAGTCCTCTTCATCCATTATCCCTGTTCTTGTTGATTTGCAGCGACTTCAATGTAGCAATATTTCAATTTTTAAATTCACAACCTTGTTTACAATCTACCTACTGTTTTATTAACTTGCCACCCTTGCTCCCCGCCTTTCAATCTCTAATCTTCGCCAGCTCCACACTGCTTAGATATCTGTGCTCCATAAATTCAGTTCTTGAACATCTGATTTTAATTGCTCCAGCAAAATGTTGCTGTGCCACGTGTCGCATTAGCCCTCGCTTTTGCCTCACCTCCCTCCTTAGAAGACCTCTTTGTTGAACTCCTTTAAGATACTCCTGAAAATCCAGTGCTTTGTCCAATTATTTATCATAATATCTCCTAACATGAATTGGTTTCATTTTGTTCTATAATTCTTCTGAACTGTTTTATTCTATTAGAAGGTGCTATACAAATACATTTTTTTGTTGATGACATAACTACCTTTGCAGCAAGGGAGTATTTGATCAAGGAGAAGGATCACTTTATACTTTTCAAGATTAGGGATGCTGGTGGAAACTTAAACTCTTTCTACACCAAAACACTGTATTAGCAGCAAGCATAAGGTACAATGCGACTAAATATTCGTTAAACCGCTCTACTTTTTAAGATATAAACTTGAAGACCATTCACTAATTCAGTGCAAGTTGGTTGCCACACACTCTCCTCCAGCATTTCCATTCCAATTATTCGAGTGATATGGGCAAATTAGTTATAAACTCAGTATTAATTTGAGCTGTGGCACCAGCAAACTATCCAAAGTCACAGGACAGTAGAAAGGACATTTAAGCAATTAACAAAGTGTTCTCAGACAATAAGAACGCTACATTGCAGCTGTGTCCTTTAAAAAGAGGTAGCTGCAGGAGTGGTACTGCCAATGTAACGCACTTACCCCTTTATATGCCCCACAGTGGAATTTAACTGCCTTCTTCCTTTGTGGAAAAAATCCTTAGTTGAAGAGCTTGTCCAAAAGATCCTAGGAGGCAGTCATTCCCTCGTAGCAAAGAGACACAGTTCACCGACATCATGTGGAATGTTCCTTGTGCAGTAAGCCCAGGCACGCCGTAGTTGGTCTGTTTTACCATCTGACTGAGATTACCGTTCCCTTTTAAATGCGAAGCCCTCCAAGTTTTGCTGTGTTAATAGAAAAAGACTTCGCTGAGGACCCCCACGGAGCAGCACTTCAACAAAGGGATTTTCCACAAAGCTAGAAAGTAGTTTAAGGATGACATGATGTGGGGCACGCAAAAGTATAAAGACTTCGGAATTCAAAGTAGCCCTCCCCCAGGTTACAGAGCCTCAGTCTACTTACACTACATGGATTTATAACAGTGACAAATTCAAAAAAAAATGACTAATCTTACTATGAAGAGAATCAAATGTATGTTTACCTGATCAGTGGGGATTTTGGTTTCTTGCGAAATTGCCTCCCGGAGTTTGGCCACTGTACCTGACAGTGGAACAGCTACTCCAATTCGCATGCAATGTGAACATTTTCCTTCATAAACCACAGTGATATTCAATGGCCTGTAAAACAAAATGGAGTTAAGGGATACATTTATTTCCAGTCAGTAATAATTAATCTTGTATCCAAGATTAATTTGGAGCTCTACACTGACATCTGGATCTAGACAAAATAACTCAAACACAAAAGCAAATGAGAACAGAAAGCCAGCACTCATTTCATCCTGTCCCCAAACTAAGCTTCTCCCTGCTCCCATGCAATCTATTCCTATTTTCCTCCTGTTTTTAGTTTAATGTCTTATCCTCTCAATGCTGATAGCCTGGAGATCAGCAATAGTTGTTGCCATTGGTTGTCGTCTGACTCAATATACTTGAGGGATCCCAGCACTTGATGGTATGAAGTGGTCAGGTCAGCAACAAATTGGGAAAAACAAAAAGTAATTTAAATCAAGGCTTAAAGTTACCAAGACCACATGGCAAGATACATTAAACTGTAGCTCATTACCCTTCTCTATACTACATTAACACAACCTGTAAAGACAAAACAGTGCTTGACATTAATATGTACATTCTTGCTAGAAAGGTCATGTTGAATAAAAGAACATAGCTAAACGAGGACTATATACACAGTTACTTCACAGAGAGCAAATTATATCAACTAAATTACAGCCACTCCATTAGCATAAAGAATAAAATCTATTTAAAATAGTGCCCCAAATCAAGTGCTCCATATTTCATTATTTTACAGAAATTTAAAAAGTAGTGGCCTTGAAATTACAACATGCACTGTTCTGGCATGTAAACACTAAACTACTCACATTCCCCATTAACATACTTTCGGATAATGGTTGTTAAAATAGTAGAGGAAGGAATTTCACAAATCCATGAACCCATCTGGCATTTGAGAAATGCACTGTCAATTATATATAATTTTTCTTCTCCAGGAGATTTGCTTTCAGCCTGTTTACACGATCGACTCGGAAACAGTGCCGACACAAATTCTCTAAAACATCTCCAGAGACTGAGAGACTGTCAAAGGCTGCAAAATTAGCTCAACATGCTCCATTCATAACTGAAAATAGCACACAATTTTACTTATGATTAGACAGTGGCATAACCACACTGAAGGGAACATTTTGGCATACATTATGTTCTCTCAACTACTAAGCTGGTGTTACTGCCAGCCAGTCTGATAAAAAGCGGAAAAATGTTGTATAGTCCAGAGTGAGCCAGTCAGATGAATATCAGCATTCAGAGTGACATTTCCCTTCGTCACTGCAGCTCAAAATGCCAGTTTTCCAAATACCAACATCCACTGACAGCTGGTCTGTGGGTTATCCAATGTTACACTATACATTCATACAAGTCTCGGGCGACTGTCTGTGTGGAGTTTGCACATTCTCCCTGTGTCTGCGTGGGTTTCTCGGGTGCTCCTGTTTCCTTCCACAGTCCAAAGATGTGCAGGTTAGGTGGAATGGCCATGCTAAATTGCCCGTAGCGTTCAGGGATGTGCAGATTGGATGTATTAGCCATGAGAAATGCAGTGTTACAGGGATAGGGTAGGGGGGTGAGTCTGGGTGGAATACTCTTCGGAGAGTCGGTGTGGACTTGTTGGACAGAATGGCCTGTTTCCACAACATAGGGATTCTATTCTATTCTATTCTATTCACAAAGTCAAAGGGGTCAAGAAAGCACAACGTCATAGAACAATGACTTGTGTGCCTGGGATTTTTCACAAGCTCAGAGGATCCAGGAGGTACAGGTCAGCCTGTGAGTGTCATAGTTCAGACTGGCACTTAGAGTTTGGGCTGAGATTACATGCCCACCCAAAATACCAATAAATTCCCAACTGAGATTAAGAAACAAAAACAAATATCTCTGTTTGCTCATTAACTGGGGCTCCTTACACTGGTCAGCACTTGGAGCTCTGACCACGAGTGTACATTCTTGTATGCAGGTGCAATGGTGGCAGTCAGTTAAGCAACTCAATAAAGAAGGCAGCTCCACAAATATCATCATCCTCAACGATGGGAGAACCTAGCACATAAGTGCAAAAGTTAAGTAAGGTTGAAGAGTTTGCAACAACCATCAGCGAAAAGTGCCAAATGGATGACCCACCTTGGCCACCTTCAGAGGACCCCAGCATCACAGATGCCAGTCTTCAGCCAATTCGATTCATTTCACATGATATCAAGAAAAGCCTGAAGGCACTGGACACTACAAAGGCAACCAGCCCCAACAACATTCTAGCAATAGTACTGAAAAACATATGCCCTCGAACTTGCCACACCTTAGCTAAGCTGTTCCAATACGGCTATGACATTGGCATTTACCCAACAAAATGGAAAATTGCACAGGTGTGCTTGTACACAAGTATCAGGACAAATCTAACCCAGCCAATTAGTGCCCCTTCAGTTTACTCTTAATTATCAATAAAGTGATCGAAGGGGTCATCAGTACAATCATGCCATACTTGCTTAGCAATAACGTGCTCACTGACGCTCATCTGAATTCTGTCAGAGTCACTTAGTGCCTGACCTTGTTACAACTTTAGTTCAAACAAAATAAGCCTAATTTCTGAGGGGGAGTAAAAATGACTGGCCAAAACATCAAGGTTGCATTTGACAACACTAGGACATCTAGAATCAGGGATAAAACTGTTGTTTGGAGTCATATTTAACACAAAGGAAAATGGTTGGTGAAAGTCAGTCATCTCAACTCCGGAACATCACTGCAGGTGTTCCACAGGGTAGTGTCCTAGGCTCAACCATCTTCAGTTACTTCAGTGTCCCCGTGGCAACCATTTTCAGAAATGGCACTGTCTCATCATAAAGTTAGATGCAAAGATGATTGCACAATAATCAGTATCATTTACAACTCCTCGTATACAGAAGCAGGTTACATGGAAATGCAGTAAGGTATGGGCAATATCCGGGCTTGGGCTGACGAGTGGCAACTGCATCCACACCACATGAGTGCCTGGCAATGTGCACTGACAATAAGAAAGACTCTAACCATTGCTCTTTGACATTCAATGGTATTATCACCTCTGAATCCCCCACCAACATCATCCTTGGGGTTACCACTGACCAGAAACTGAACTGGCCTAGCCAATATGAATACTGCAGTTAAAAGAGAAGGTCAAAGACTAGGAACCACGCAACAAATAACTAACCTCCCGTCTCCCCGGTGCCTCTCCACCAAATACAAAGCACACGTCAGGAACGTGATGGAATACTTCCCACATACCCAGGTGAATGCAGCTCCAACAATATTCAAGAAGCTGAACACCATCCAAGATAAAGCCGCTCACTTCATTGGAACCACATACACAAATATTCACTCCCTCCATCATCAATGCTCAGAAGCAGAAATGTGTACCATCTTACAAAGATATACAGCAGAACTTTACCAAGGTTCTTTAGAGAGCACTTTCCAAACCCATAACCACATCCATTTGGAGGACAAGGGCAGCAGGGAATGACACTACCTGCAAGATCCCTCCAGGACACACGTCATCCTGACTTGGGAAATATAATCACGGTTTCTTCAGTGTCACCTAGTCAAAATCCTGAAACTCCCTCTCTAATAGCATTGTAAGTGTACCTACACCAACGGACTGCAGTGTTTCAAGATGGTATCTCACTGTCACCTTCAAGAGTCACTAGAGATGGACGATAAATGCTGGTCCAATCAATAACACCTACATCCCCTCCATGAATTAAAATACAGCAAACTCTCTTTTAGCTGGCACCTTACGAATTGGCACTCTTGATAGAATGTGCAAAAATTATATACCTCAAATATTGTAAGGTTTATTATTCCGTCCAATTGTTAGTTTTTTAAATTTATGTACCTCAATGTAAATATACCTGTTGCTCAATCAAATAGCCACGCAAAATATCAACAGTTGATTAAATTTCAAGTCAATTTCTCCTCAAATACCGCAATCTATCATGATATCCAAGTAGTCAGTTGAGGATACATGTGGAAAGGTTCTCTGCTGCTAAATTTTACATAAGGCAAAGCTGCATTATTATTTATGTGATTTAAACAGTGACATGTATACCCCATGCATTACATTTCCATTACTAGTAGTGTGTATATTTGATAATGTGGACTTTTTTATTATGTAGAATATTTGATCAACCAGCACACTCCTGGTCCCATAGGTGCCAGTTAATAAAATGTTTGCTGTATGTACATCTAGCCCAGAGATCAAAATTATTTCTCAGTGCTGTAGCTAGTTTATTAGATCTACACAGTCCTCATCATTTACTCAATGTCAAAAAGCAGCACCATAAACAGACAACAGGCTATTCTAAAACTTGAACTGAACTCTGGCTCAAGACTATAACTTTGGACAGTGTTTCAATACATTCCTCAGACATCCTTACCATCACTTAGGTGGAACATTTGCTCAATTGCAGAAAGTTGGCCAAAATCTCTTGTGAAGTTGTGAGCAAAGATGATTACATATGCATTAACAAAGAATCCAAAATAATGCACTGCAGCTTTCTAATAGGATTGTCACTCTAACAATGGATGCCATTTCAGTGTTGGGACATTATCTCACTCAATCCAACAGTGCTGTGATAGTCATGCTAATATGTCACTGTGTGGGAGGCATGATTGGGAGATCTGCAGTCAACACAAAAATTGGCCAGGTAATTGATAGGGAGGAGGATGGCTGTTGAGTGCAGGAACATAACAGTTTGGTTGAGTGGGTGGAAAAGTGGCAAATTAGAATTTAATCCTTAGTAGTCTGAGGCTATTTATGTATTTGGGGACGGCAAACAAAACAAGGAAATGTACAATAAACAGGTGGAACTGAAAGACCTTAGAATGCATGGCCAGAGGTCCCTAAAGGTGACAGGACAGGTGGACAAGGTGATGAAGAAGGCATCTGGGATGTTCCCTCATTAGGTGAGGTACTGAATAAACAACAGCAGAGATGTAATGTGGAACTATACTGGATAGTGGTTAGGCCAGAGTGGTGGTCAATAAGCTACAGGAAGGACATACTGCTGTAGAGAAGCATATGTGTGAGAGAGAATGACAGT